TCCTTGTTCAGTTTCCACACAGACTCTGATCATCAGTATGTGTCCATTTGTCTATATCCAAATCCATTCAGAGAGAAGGATGGGGGCTTCATAAAGGAGTTAAGACAACATTGAATCTAATCATATAGTTATCAGATAATTATGCCTTGTTATTTTTGTTCATCAGAGCATAGTCAGTAGTAGCTATAGAAGCAAGGGAACTTTGTTAACTGTTTATTTATTTTTTGAAATGGAACAGCCAAAGATGCTTTCATGGTAATGTACCTGATTCCCTTAGATGGGATGTGCACATATCATTTTTATTCTTAGGAAAATAAGCCATTCATTTTTACAGAATCAGCATCCTTTCACCTAAGTTCTAAACTGTCCTGGGAAATGGCATTTGGTGGCAGTAACCCACTTTTAGAGTTGCCTCCTTAGGCAGAATCACAAGGTATCTGCCTTATTACCTTTCAGATACATGGCTAGAGCTTAATATACCAATCATTTCAACTTGTGTTATATTGGATTTATGAATTTTACTGGTATCTTCTTTTCATCACTGATTGTAATCCTTTATTTTAAATGTTTTAATATTTCAGGTAGTGTTTGTAGACACATCAGAAGGTAATTTAAATTTTTTAAAATGTAGCTGTATGTTCGGTTGGATGCTTGAATTTTAGAGCATTCCCTCCTTGCCCAGGAGGAATTTCTGTTTAATTTTTAATCCAATATTAATATTTATCATCAAAATGTGGTGGCATCAAAAGGTTGAGAAGACATCTGCACAATAGTTTTACTGTGAAGTGTTTGAATTGCAAAACGTATTTTTATAGAATTCAATCACAATAGCTTGTTCCTTATTTTATTTATAAGTTTTATCGATGACTTATATCAGTTTGCTACTGTTGACTCTCCTGGATAATCAGTCTTCCTGAGAATTATTCTTTAATGCTCTTCCCTCATTTAGAAGTATTTGTAAAGTAGAGAGTGATCAATCTGTTCCACACCGTAAACCCCCATTCCATTTCTGAATCAGTCTGAAAATGGGTTTTTGAAATACTACAGAATTTTTGTGCAGTGTAATACTGTATTTAACAGTTTCTTCTAATATGTACATTTCCTAACTAGTAATTTTGTAAAATGTGTGCATTTTCCGACATCATTTCTCCTAGTGTATATATGTGTGTATGCATTTTTGTTTGGAAGAGTGTACTGCAAAATGTGTTGAACTGCAATAACGAAATGATAACTGCACTCCAGTCCACACAGTAGCTTGGGAAGTGTGAATGCAAAGCCAAAACATTTATCCCCCTCTCTATTATTAAACAGTAGATTAAACTAATCTCAATGTTTATTGATAGAAGAGATCTAGTATGTCATTCTGGGCCAATCTGTTTTATGGCAAGTGAATTAATGCAAGGCAGTGAAGAGAGGCCTACTCATTCCCTTGCTTAAACTTGAATGAAATGAATAATTAGACTGGCAGTTTTAAAGAACACTTTAATAAACCTTTATGTCAGTATCTCTAGCTCTTATCTGTTGTCACAGACCATGGCAATGATGCTTACCTGACTTTAATCTCATATATCTATCAGTATGTCAGAATAAATCAAGAAGGAAGGATATGTGGACAGAAACATGTGGTGCTGCCTCATTGCTGAGGAGCTTCCTTATGTAGACATTAAAGCCATAGAGATTATTCAGATGTACTGAAAGCCTGACATGAGGAGTAGATATATAACCAATATAGCTTGTGTGTTCTGCTCCTGTTTACGTACAGTAAAGAGGGGCCAGAGTAGTAACAAACATAGATGCAGCTTATGGAACAATAAAAATGAATTTTGAGAATTATCCTAAATCTACAAAGCCTTATAGTTATATATCAGTTGCACTCATCCCTATGAGGATCTGTATTTACCTTTTCCTCCATGAGTGGCATGTTGTTGATGATTAAACTTATCTGTAAGAAAACAAAACATATGAAATAGAAGCCAGGAGAGGGGCCGATTTTGTGTTCACCTTAACAAGCTGTAGCAAGTCCTATAAATTGTTCTGAGATCAAACTGTTGGCTGAAATCCTGTTGCATAGTGGATTTGGTGATAATTACTCCATATGTAATTACTGGATTATGGAGAAAGCCAGAGAGTTCCAGAAAAACCATCTACTTCTGCTTCATTGATTATGCAAAAGCCTTTGACTGTGTGGACCACAACAAACTATGGAAAGTTCTTAAATAAATGGGAATGCCTGATCACCTTATCCATCTCCTGAGAAATCTATATGTGGGACAGGAAGCAACAGTTAGAACTGGATATGGAACAACGAATTGGTTCAAAATTGGGAAAGGAGTACGACAATGCTGTATATTGTCTTCCTGCTTATTTAACTTATATGCAGAATACATCATGCAAAAGGCTGGACTGGAGGAATCCCAAGCCAGAATTAAAATTGCTGGAAGAAATATCAACAACCTTGGATATGCAGATGATACCATTCTGATGGCAGAAAATGAGGAGGAATTAGGGAACTTCTTAATGAGGGTGAAAGAGGAGAGCGCAAAAAAAAATAGTCTGAATCTCAACATCAAAAAAACTAAGATCATGGCCACTGGTCCCATCACCTCCTGGCAAATAGAAGGGGAAGATATGGAGGCAGTGACAGATTTTACTTTCTTGGGCTCCATGATCACTCAGATGGTGACAGCAGCCACGAAAGTAAAAGACACCTGCTTCTTGGGAGGAAAGTGATGACAAACCTCGACAGCATCTTAAAAAACAGAGACCTCACCTTGCCAACAAAGGTCCGCATAGTCAAAGCTATGGTTTTTCCAGTAGTGATGTATGGAAGTGAGAGCTGGACCATAAAGAAGGCTGACCACCAAATAATTGATACTTTTGAACTGTGGTGCTGGAGGAGACTCTTGAGCGTTCCCTGGACTGCAAAGAGAACAAACCTCAGATCCATTTTGCAGGAAATCAACCCTGAGTGCTCACTGGAAGGACAGATCCTGAAGCTGAGGCTCCAACAATTTCGCCATCTCATGAGAAGAGAAGACTCCCTGGAAAAGATGCTGATGTTGGGAAAGTGTGAAGGCAAGAGGAGAAGGGGACGGCAGAGGACGAGATGGATGAACAGTGTCATCAAAGCTACCAACATGAATTTGACCAAACTCCGGGAGGCAGTGGAAGACAGGAGAGCCTGGTGTGCTCTGGTCCATGGGGTCATGAAGAGTCGGACACAACTTAACGACTAAACAACACTCCATATGTTCCAATGGGCCTACTTTGTTTGCAACTTTCTGTGCTAAGCTTGGATTTCAGCCATTGATTTCTGTGATAGGGAAGTGAAAGGTGCATGAACTCCCGTGTGCTTCCAAGAACGTAGACACCTAGAAAACAAACCATCACATTGTAATGACTGCATGACCAGGGTTATTAACCAATGTTATACTGAACTGGGTGTTCAAATATGGGGTACAGCCTGAAGCTGGCTCCTTATTTTACTGTGCCTTATTTTACTGATTTCATTTTGACATGTGTTATAATTCTGTGTAAAATACTTCTGTGGTAAAACTTTCCTCCGCATAACTGCTGTATCAATGTGAAATCTGTACTAGCATTTAACTTCTTTATATAATTGAGAATTTATTATATGCAGATTGTCAGTATTCTAATCAGACTATATAGATAGGGAAGAAATGTTGCTGTCCTTATCAGACAGCATTTTGCAACTTATAGCACTTATTTTAGGTGCTATATTTTTTCTTATCCCTGATACCCTTGCACTTGTAAATTTGTGCTAACTTTTAGATTCTCCTTTAAGACGTATTCTTAACTATGTTTTTCAATTTCCATATTGATTAGCCTTGTGTTTTTCTTTTAATTGGCATGAGTTACAAAATCTAAATTTTTGATGCTTCATCTTGGAACTCTGAAAGATCTGAATGGGCATGATCCTCTAAACTTCCATTGTTGTTACTATGAATACAGTGGATTTGTGACAGGAATTTAGGACACCATACCGGGGCTGCTGAAGGCAATTTTCAGTTGGCAAAATCTATCCAGATTGTAGCACACCCTTAATCTCTGATAGAAATCATGGGGATTTAAATGTAACTAGATTGGATTGTTTCAGTTTATGCCTTTGTCATAATTTGTTTCCTCCTTCTCCAAGTTCAGCTGCAAAACTAGGCTAAAATTGAGCTTTAATGAAAGCTTCTTTAAATGTATAGAAATTGTAAATAAATGTTTATAAATATGTATTAATCTTTATTTTATCTACTTAATTACTTCTTAGGTTTTTACATCACCTTTCTCCTCCAAATGACCCGTTACTCCCCTATCCCCCATCCTGACACTTTGATTTGATCTTGAGGCATACATACTTGTTTAAAATGCTTGCAGGGCCCCATGTTTCAATATAGCAAGAGGTAATCACATTTGCTGGTCATGAATCAGAGAGCATAATGCCATATGCAAGAATCAGAAGCCACTGGCAATGGTGCGGCTAAAAAATATTGTAAATAAATAAATAAATAAAGAATCAAAAGGTCACGTACTGTAGTGTAGTCTAATATTCCCTTCCCACATTTTCTTCTTTGTAGAGTTTTAACAATTCAAACAGTTTACACACTGTTAAATCAAACATAACATGCTCCTACATGTCTACATAGTTTTGAAATAGGACTCCTCCACAGACAAACTTGTTTGTTCACTTGTGGAGGTAGAATTTGTTTATAGGAGTTCTTCATATTCTTCTTCTGAATGAGTACTTGCTGAGCCTGAGCTAGATCAAGGACTTGGATTTTTTTGTCTAGAAAGAACACACATTTTCAGTCTTGAGTACATGCAAAAATTTTAGAAAACCCAGCTATATGACTAAATATTATGCCCTTGATATGTTGAAACCTACTGCTCCACCTGTTAATTAATGCTACTGTGATCATTACCATTAATTTTTTTATTGGTGCTTGGTAGATTTGGTATAAACTAAATAGGTACATGTTTTCCATTTCAGGTATACTAAACCGCTGACTTTTGCTGACTGCATAAGCGATGAGTTGCCACTAGGATGGGAAGAGGCGTATGACCCACAGGTTGGAGTCTATTACATTGACCATAACACCAGTAAGTGTGATATTATTTTGCACTTATGACAATTCCAACCTATGGCAGTCCTTCATAGGATTTTCTTGGTATAAAGGACTCAGAGGTGGTTTACCAATACTTTCTTCTTGGGAGTGCTCCAGGATGATGTAGCTTGTCCAAGGCCACCCAGATTGGTTCTGCTCCCAAGAGGCACAGTGGGGAATTAACTCTCGGCCCCTCTTTTTTCTTGCGTATTATTCCCTTCTAATGAAAGCCATCTGAATTTCCCATGTTCTTATACATCTGCAGAGATGAACTTGCTTGGTAATTCCAACAACTGTACACTGATATCCTGCTGCCAGATCTTTGTGTGATTAAGATTCTTATTTAGCTAAATGGAGCACATCATATTGTGTTATGAAATCAAATCATAAACACTGGCAGGATGCATGAATTTCTTTATTTCCAGTACTTCCTTGGCCTGTACTCTGTCCTTGCGCACCTTGTAAACAATATAAGGATCATAAATCATCTTTTGTAGGTGTACAGCCTGGGAAGTGGAGCAGCATTCTTTTCAGCCATTGCCAGAGCTGTTTGAAGAATAACTTTAGATAATCTTCTACTGGCCCACAAGATGATTGTTAATGGCTAATAAAAATTAGAAGAGAAACAGCATTCAACATATTGCATTCAACACACCCAGCTGTCTTCACCTAATTTGTATGCTGTATTATAGCTGCATGAGAGTGCAACAAGCAGAACAAATCAGCATTTTACAAAGTAATTCTAAAAATGGGGGAAACCCAAATGAAAAAAATTATAACATTTAAACTTAAGCATCATTCAGATCAGCACCACATTTGGCAAAGTTATAGCTAAAACCGGCCCCCTGACTATTGCTTTGTGTTTTGATAGAAGTGGTTAGCTGTATTATAGCTGCATGAGAGTGCAACAAGCAGAACAAATCAGCATTTTACAAAGTAATTCTAAAAATGGGGGAAACCCAAATGAAAAAAATTATAACATTTAAACTTAAGCATCATTCAGATCAGCACCACATTTGGCAAAGTTATAGCTAAAACCGGCCCCCTGACTATTGCTTTGTGTTTTGATAGAAGTGGTTAACTGATGAAAAAAATGAGTTAGCTTCTGCGATTTTCCACTGCTTGGCATCCTCTTTATTGCTGGCATTGGTGTCATCAGCATTCAAGCTGCCCTTTGTTATGTAAAGTTTGGCATCCTTTTTTTTTTTGGCTTTTGTTTTTGCTGGTACAATATTGTGTAGCATGATCAGGCCACTTTCTGGTGTTTTAAATCGGGATGTGAAGCACAATACCTCACATTGAAAAACTAAGAATTCAGTCTATATGTGTTTGCCTCAATGAAGCCAGTATATATACTATCTTTAAAACAATATTCTTTTAGTCATTTTCTAAACACAAGGTCCTCCTCCCAGAGCTTTTGCCTCATTTTCATCTTTTCTATTGGATATTTATTGCCATGTTAACATGTGTTGTTTCTTCCTTCTTCAGAAGACTGAATAGAGGCCATGACCTATTCTGCAGCTTAGTTTTCAAGAATGTTTTACAGAAGCATGAAATCTCTCTCTCAATAGTACAGGAGCTTCAATTTAACTTTAAAAGAAACAAATTAAATTAAAGCTAAGCAAAAGATAGTTGTAGTTTCCATATTCAAAAACACAAATTATGATCTGGAAATAATGGATTGTCCCAAGTTTAGATCCAAAGTTGCTTCTTCTTGAATGAAAGGACTTCACTTGTGGAAGTCTTGTACATGTGTATAGGGCCACATTCCATGCTGGGGAAGGATATAGGCATTTGTGGGGAGGTATCACTAGTGACAGCATACAAGAAGGAGAGGTTTTTTTATTGAATCACTGCATCCAAGCAGTTACCTTCATACATGATATAACTGGCAAGGAATTTGTTTCTGTTTGCTTTTATTTTTGCGCAGATCTTTTTCTGCTGTTGAGCACCAACTTAAAGCCATAAAGTGATTGTCAAGAAATGCCTGTAAAATATAAATGCTTTCTTTTGTAAGTTTCCCCTGGAAGAGCTGGTAAATGAGTAAGAGCATTTTACACTGTGTTGTTATTGAAGCTAAAGAGGGATGGATCTGATCTTGATGGAAGAGTACTGGAAGCTACATGTAACAGTAGATGAGAAGTATAAAAATAAACAAACAAATAATTAAGTATTTAAACATAACAGGTAACAGCACTTTGATCTTGTCAATTTAGAATGCATTCCTGTGGTGGGAATCTCAAAATCATTCATGTACATTGAACAATGGGTTTCAATGGAGTCTTTAGGCAGGGTTGATTACACTTTGTTCTTTTCTGATTATGATACGGTTCAAGTGTTGCCTCATCTGAAAACTCAGGTAGGTAGGCTTTGACAAGACAGAAGGCCCAGTTTCCTCTCTGTTGTATGTAGATGGGGGTGCCAAACCCCAATGTAGTTCAAAATCCTTGTATAATTAAAAGCATAAACACTATCTCTCTCTCTCTGTGTGTCTCTCTCTCTCTCTCTCACACACACACACACACACACAGAGAGAGAGAGAGAGAGAGAGAAAGAGAGAGAGAGAGAGAGAGTACTCTCTATCAGGATTCTCTTCGATACAGTGCTGTGTGTCATGAGCCTTAAAGGGCCTTGTGATCTAGAGGCAGAATTAGAGATGTGTTTTGGGGGAAAGTGGAGCACTATTATATCTTCGGTGTTGAACTCATGCCTGTGGTTCTGGGTGGCCAGAGACAAGAGTATTTATTGAACAGTTATTTTTGAAACATTCATTCATTTATTTAACTAAAATCTGTGTATAATCAAAAGTGTGCTGCTCAGACCTATGCATCTCAAGGGAGAAGTGTAACGCTTGACCTCCGATACAGATTGTTGCAGGGACTGCAACATAGTAATCACTTTAACCACTCTAAACCATAACCTTCTATGTGTCTTCATCACTGGGCCCAGTGATTCTTATTCCCATTATTGGCTTACCATCAAAATCACTGTATAAATGACTGCTGCTATTGTTAGATACTCATCCATAGGGTCTCAGTCAGATCCATTTCAATCAGG